ACCAAAAACAAAGTTGTCTGGTCTGAAGATCTGGCCAAAAGGACCTGAACGAACAGAGTCCATGGTGCCGGGTTCTAGATCCACCAAGATCGCTCGAGGAACATACTTTCCACCTATGGGTAAGAAAGCAGAGCAGGGAAAATTAGCAGAAGGTAAATGAGTTGGGGCTGGGTAACAGCTAGGGACCCAAACTTGTGATTCCAGGCGCTGCCACCAGGTGACAGCAGAGCTAGTCTTTGGGCCCCGGTGGTGGGAATCAAATAGAGGAAGGTCTCCAAAGGGAAAGGATGGATTTGTCCAAAGGACAGAAAGAAACCCCAGAAATGGGAGAGATGAGACCGGAGCGCCTTCCCTCACCTGTGGCTTCATTGTAATACACGGAGATGCGATCCAGCTGCAGGTCGCTGTCGCCGTGGTAGGTGCCGGTGGGGTCGATGCCATGTTCATCACTGATCACCTCCCAGAACTGTGGGGAAAGAGCAATGAACCGTCAACAGCTCATGTCCCAGCCGATTATGACCCCGCCTCCACTTAACTGCCTGCCACGTCACTCTCCTAAGCACCCCCACACCTGGGAAAGCTGCAGCTTTCACCGCTTGGAATGCGAAATGATGTCCAGCTGGGAGGGCCCAGCGATCGCAGACACTGGGCAGGGCCGAGGCAGGCGCTGCCGACCTCACTAGGTAAGTGTATTCCTCGCCCCCCAGGCTGGGCACACCTCCCCCCACGCCGCGCACAAAGAGCGGAAGGTAACGCAGTCACCCACCACCAGCCCTCCACAAGACTGTGGCACAAGAGCGCGCCCAGCCGCCACAAAGGGAGGCGTCGCGCGTGGGCGGGGCTGAGGCGCGAATTCAGCGCGCCACCTGGCGGCTGGCAAGGCAACACAGTCCCCGCCCTGCAGGGCCCTGCCCTTCTACAACGTAGCAGCCGCACTTCCTCCTCCGCTACACTGTAGCCGCGCGCAAAAAAAAAAAAAAAAAAACCCTCTTGGTCTCGGAATTTTATTCCTTCGCTAGCTTTCCCCCCTTGCTTAAAATGAGGACCCTCTTCCTTCCTCTCATCATTTAGTCCCGAGAGACTCTTTAGAAGAAAAAAAAAACCCTCCCACCCTCTTTCTCCTAATCTGTCCAAGACCTAAAAGCGTCTCTTTAAGGTGAAATAAAGGAAGCAAAATGAATCTAGCACATATTAGCCTTCCATCCACGAAAAACCTTGCGCCTGACCCTCGGGGATCGCGGGCGCATGGAAATCTTTAGTTTTTTTGTGGAGGTAACGNGTTCAGATCCCACATATGCGGGCCAGTGACACTGCCCTCCACAGCTAAGATGCTGAACAAGAGCTCAACCTGGAGCTGGGCAGCTGGGAGGCAACGGCGTAGGCTGCAGCCCCTGTGGCAGTAGGTTGCCATGGGCTACCGTGTGTAGCCAGTAGCCAGCGTGAGCGGCCAGCAGCCGCAGTGAGAGGCTGTCCAGAAGCCGGCAACCTGATGTGCCTTGCCTGGGAAGAGTGCAATGATGCTGCCAACTGGGGCCAGTGAAGCAACGTCCTCCACTAGACTGAAGAACAAAATGACAGCAACTTGTCTGTTCCCCTTCCCCCAATTCCCCAGTACTGTTCCCATGCCACCAACTCCCCAATAAAAATCTTTAAAGAAAAAAAAAGCATATTTGGGGGGGTTGCCCCAGTGGCTCAGTTGGTTAAGAACATTAACTCTGAGCAACAGGGTCACTGGTTGGATTCCCACATGGGCCAGTGAGCTGCGCTGAGCCAATAGGTGGCAGGATGGCTCAGCTGGCAAGAGCATGTGATCCTAACAAGGTTGCCAGTTGGACTCCCGCATGGGATGGTGGGCTACGCCCACCCGCAACTAAGATTGAACACAGCACCTTGAGCTGAGCAGCCACCTGGTGACTGGACTTAGAGCTGTGCCCTCCACAACTAAGATTGAAGAACTTGGCTGTTCCCCTTCCCCAATTCCCTAATAAAATCTTTTAAAAAAAACCCTATTAGTTGGAGCAGTTTAGAATGGACCATGATGTGGAACCCCATACTAGTTAGGTGTACCTTAAGTTGACTGAGAAAACCCACAGGATTACAGCACATGGTAAGATACCCATAACCCAAAGGAACCTTGGATGTGCCACGTTGGAAATTGTGCAAATGGCCTTTAACTACTTGACATTCATCTGTTTTCATTTCAATCCCTAGATCCTGCATCTGAATCTATACCCATCCTAGTAAGGCTGGTACCAGTGGTGGGCTGGTTTGGGTACCAGGGATTAAGATGTGAGGGTCAATTAAGTATTAAGGTATTCTCATCAATTTACAGAGAGCAGAGTATATGTGTAAGTGAACTTGAGGCTCTTGTCTACACCAGCAATCTAAATGAGCACACAATCTTGCATTTTTTAATTCCCATTTATTTTTGGCTCTTGGGGCAATGTCATTTTTTTCAATATGAAAAAAAGCAAGTTCAACACAAAATAGAAATTTGAAGTGTAGGGTAGGACAAAGCCAGGGGTAGGGGGGAAATGGCAATAGCAAAAAGAGATGAGATGTTGCCAGAAGATGGTGTCCTGTTCCCTCTCTGGGGAATGACTCAAACATTTAGGTGGCAG